CTGGTGGGCTTCCCTCTTATTACTTTGAGTGCTCTTTCTTCCAGCTTCCCTGTAATTTTGTTGTATTGTGTCTGAAGGACATATTCTGCTGTTGTCTTTGTGTCCTATGCCTGGCACATATAGGTGCTCAGCAGTTGTTTGTTAAATTGAACTGAACTTTAAAAAAGAGAAGATCAGTGGTTACAGACTTTTTCACAGGTACATTTTTGGGGGTAGTAATAATATAAATGATTTTTTCCAAATGTTTGGTGTTTTGAAAAAAAAATAGGAGAGTTGTTATATATGTGGGTAGGTGTTGATATGTTTTTGTATGAGTAAGGGCCAAAATCTTTCCTTCACCATTGGTGTTTTCCTCTCCTTCAGATACAGTATGTATCAGTATCTTAGCATGCTCACAATTGCATTAACTCCAGCATGGATCTCCTCTAAGTGTATTTGGTCTAATTGGTTACTTTTCTTCATGTCATTTCTACTTTCCTTTGTAAACACCCTGGGGCCTGTGATATCGGGGCCAAATGTCTTTTTCTGTGGTTCCAACCAACCAATCAATCAATATTTATTAACCGGCTGCTCTTGTCGGGCTAAGTGCTGGGGACACAAAAAGAGTCAAAGACCAGCCCTTGCGCTCAAGGAGTGCGCAGTCTAATGGACGAGCTGACGGACTAATGGTTCCACTGTCCTTGATAAAGTTGGTTATAATAATCTTTGCAGATCTTTTTTATTTTTTTTTCCTGTTTTTATTCCTTCAATTTCCAACCTTGAATGTCCTTGAGATGACTTTGCTTCTTGGGATCTCATGTCAAGGTTGCTTTAAACTGGTTTTACTCTATACTGCCTCTCTGTTATACGAGATGATAAATATGTATAATTGTAATCAGAATGGAGAGGTGCATTGTAGGTGTCAATAGCCTCTGCCATATGACCGATGGGGAACCTGGAAGAAGTACAGGAGTCACGATTGTCATCAAGAGAATACATGCTGAGAGCAGGTGATGGGCTGGTCATATGGCAAGGACCGGGGATAACAGGACAGCCCAAGGAGGCAGCTGGGTGGTACAGTGGAGAAAGGACTGTCCTTGGAGCCAGGAAAACCTGAATTTAAATGCAGACCCAGACCTCGCTAACTGCGTGACCCTGGGCAAGTCACTTTGCTTCTCTGAAGCTCAGTTTTTTCTTCTGTATATTGGGGATAGAATAGTGTCGACCTCACAGGGCTGTTATGGAGATCAAATGAGATGATACAAACCTTAAAACACTATGCAAAATGCATGCTGCCAAGTGTTCCCCGACGCCCTTTCAGGGTAAAGAGGAACGAGAGTGGATGCGCACCCCGGTGGTGAGCTTTGGGGAGGACATCACTTGGATCAGTGAGAGCCCAGAGTCTTTGCTTGGACATCTTCTCTTTCAGCCCACCTGTCCTCTGTGTCTGCCTGGTCTAGACCAGCTGGTCCTTCCTCCTGTCTTTGTTCTCTCCCATGCCATGTCTGGGGAGAATGACTCCTTTTGCTCTTGATTCAGTTTTCTTTTAGCTCTTGTGCCTGGGCAGCAGGGTCTGTGGCTTTGGAAGTAAGCCATTCTTTTAGCCATTGTTGTTCAGCAGTGTAACCTGAGCACTCAGTTCTCTCTGGACTAGAAGGAGGGGGGCACCCAACACCTGCTCAGCTCTGGCTACTTGGGTCCAGAAACACTCTGTTAAACAAGTGCTTCCTGCTTTTATATTGTGTGTATATTTAAAACATAATCTCCCCTTTAAAGAAAGGAACTGCGTTGTGGCTGTTGGAACATGGTGGTGCTGGAGCCTCATTAGTTTTTCATATTAAATAAATAGTATCCAAAAAGCTGGAATGGAATGTTAACCCCAGGATGACAGAGTCAGAATCCAAAAAAGATCTTGACATTGGGCTGGACTGAATAAGATGAAATTTACTGGGGATATATTTCAAGGCTTACACTTGGGTTCAAACAATCAACTTCAGTGGGATAGGATAGGGTGATGTGACTAGATAGACATTCTCTGGAAAACCCCTGAGTTTTGTCCCGGTGAACTACAAGGTCAGTAGGAGTAAAGAGCTTGATAGAGCAGCCCCTCCAGACGAATACGATCTTTGGTTTTATGATGAGAGGAGGAGGGCGTGGCACTATGGGAAATAGCTAACTCGTTAAGACCATGTTGGTGGAGAGTAGAATTGATTTCAATCCAATCCAGCAGTCATTTAGGAAGCTCCTACACAGTGCAAGCACCCGACTCTGTGTTAGATGTTCAGAATACAAAACAAAAACAAAAACAACTCCTACGTTCATAGAGCTACAGTCTATAGTTTTCATCTCGTAGCTTAAAATATAGGTGTGACAGACCCCTGGTCAGGGATGGAGTACACCTGGAAAAATGCAGATCCCCAAAGTCTTGCAAATCTAATCCAAAGGGCTTTAAGCTGACAAGGAAGGAGGGGGGTGTGGGGCCTGGTGAATAGACAAAGACTCATCTCATAGATAGCGGTGATGGTGTAGGACAAAGGAGAGACAGAGAGATGCTTTTCTCTTCTTTCCTTCCTTCTTTCTTTTATTTATTCATGTAACTGGTATCAGTTAAGTACTTTCTGCATGTGCAGGGCACTGAGTTAATTGCTGGACATAAATTACAGACCAAACCAAAGCAAACCTGTTCCTGCCCTCCAGGGGCTTATAATGAGGAGTTCTGCATTCCCATTCTTGGTCAGCTCCTCAAGAAGGCCCTCCTCCACTTTCTTCTTATTCTCTTCCTAACTCTGCAGTCTGGCTGCTGGTGGGCAGTCTGACATCATTCAGCCCAATCCCCGCCCCCCCCCCCCAAATTACTAGTTAGCTCTTCATCGCCAATTCTAATGGCCTTTTCCCAGTCCTCATTCCTTCTTGACCTCTCTGCCACCTTTGACACTGTTGACCACTTCTTATTCTGGATACACTCTTCTTTCTAGGTTTTTGTGACCCTTCTCTCTCCTGGTTCTCCTTTTCTTGTCTCCTTTGTTAGATCTTCATCTGGGCCCTAGCCACCGGCTGTGAGTGTGCCCCAAGGCCCTGTCCTGGACCATCTTCTCTTCTTCCTGTATACGATTTCACTGGGTGATCTCATCATCTCTCGTGGATTCAGTGACCATCTCTATGCTGATGATTCTCAAATCTGCTTCTCTAGCCCTAACCTCTCTGCTGGCCTCCAGACCTGCATCTCCATCTGCCTGTTGGACATCTCGAACTAGATGTCCTGTAGACATTTTAAACTCAATGTGTCCAAAACTGAACTCATTCTGTTCCTCCCCTGAACCCTCCCTTCTTCTCAACTTCCTTATTACTGTGGAGGGTATCACCATCCTCCCAGTTTCTCAGGCCCACAACCTAGGTATCATTCTTGACTGATCTCTTCCCATATCTAATCTGTTGCCAAGGTCTATCACTTCTACCTTCTCATTATCTCTTAGATTCCCTGCCATTTCTCCTTTGACATTGCCACCCTCTGGTGCAGGCCCTTCTCTCTTCATGCCTGGATGGTTCCAGGACACGGCTGATTGGTTTCTTTTCACTAAGTCTCTCCCCAGCCCAGTCTCTCCCCAGCCCAGTCCCTCCTCCTCTTGGCTCTCAGAGTGATCTTCCTAACCCACAGATCTGACCACGTCACCCCCCCAACACTCAGTAAACTTCAGTGGCTCCCTGTTACCTTCAGGATCAAATTTAAAATCCTCTGTTTGGCATTTCAGGTCCTTCATAACTTGCCTTCTGGATCTTTTCAGTCTTCTTACCTCTCCTCCTCTCCATCCATGCATACTCTTCAGTCTAGTAACACTGGGACGCTGGCCTCCTGACTATTCCTTGAACAGGACCCTCCATCTCTGGACTCTGGGCATTGTCACTGGCTGGCCCCCATTCCTGGAATGTTCTCCTACCTCATCTCTGCCTCCTGGGTTACTTGGAGTTCTCCAAGAAGCCTTTCCTGATCTACTGTAAAGCTAGGCTCTGTTGATTCTCTTGCCTCCGGCGTGTTTGTCCAGAGCGGTCTGCATATCATCTGCCCCATGGAGCTCCTCGAGAGCAGGACCGTCTGGCACGTAGTGGGTGCTTGATAAATGCTGGTTGACTTGGCTAGTACCCAGCCGAACCCCTGGCACATAGTGGGTGCTTAATCAGTACTTTCCCCCCTTCCCTTGCCATGTGGAGGGGGTGTCAGATTTGTTCTGGACAGACCTGGGCCCTCTGGCTGAAACTTTGGACATTTCTGCTTAATAGAAGGAAAGCTTTCTAATAGTTGGCACTATCCAGCAAGTGCTTTGGGTGAGGAGAGCCTTGGAAGTTAGTGAGATCTTTTTCACTTGAGGGATCAAAGCACAAATTAGCTGACTTCATGGGTTGTGGTAGACGGACTCCTTGCCTGAGGTGAGAGTGGGGGCAGCCTGGATGTCCTTGTTGGTCTAATCACCATCATTAATGACTTGTGTCCTTCCCCTTCCCTTGTGTGCACATCTGTTGCTGAGCTAGGTCGTTGGGGAGTAGCCATGGTTCCTGTCCTCAGGGATCTTGCAGTCTAGATCCAGAAATCTGAGATACATAACCACAGGGCATAAGGGATTGGCTGCTGAGTGTTTGGGCAAGTAGAGTCTGCTGTCCATCTCTGGGGAGAGAGGGGCCTGGGTGGGAGTGGGCATGTGGGGAGCCCTCTGACTGTTTCTTTCCTAGAGCCATCACGGTTATCCTATAGGAAATGTTGACAGCTTCCTCCTGAGTCCTGGGTAGCCCCTGTCTGCTGGACAACTGAGCTTACAACAGTGCCCCAGACAAAGGTCAGGTGGTCTGCCTAGGGCTCCAGATGGCTTTGTACTTGACCTGGAAGATGTGCTCTGGACCTGGGTACCTGCTCTGAGGCTGGTGCCAGGCGGCACTCTGTGCTCTCGGGGTGGTGGGGGTGGTGGTGGCTGGGTAGCTGAGAAGCCCACCCAAGAAGGCAAAAGCCATGAACTTGTCCTCTTGTGTTGCAGATTCAGGGGCTCTTACCTTTGACTCCGTTGGACGGACACTAGGCTCAGGTACAATCTCCTTCCCCTTCTCTTCCCTCTGTGGCCCCAGGCTTGTTTCTGTCCAGGGTGGGGCTCGGTGGCCATGTTGGGAGGCAGAGGCAGAGGCAGGTGAGATGATGATGCAGCCAGGCGAGGGCAGGGTCTTCTGGGACTTGCTGGCGCTGGGCAGGGCTGCTGCTCCCCTCTGGCTGGCCTTCAGGGCCCCAGGGAGGCTCGTGAGGGGCAGAGAGGGCAGCTTGGTGTGGCCCGTGGCACCTGTGCCTGGGTGCACGTGTGTGCGTGGGGGCCCCAGAGGGCCTTCTGGATTTTTACTGATGCATTCCATTAGCAGGACTTGGGCAGATGGTTCATGGGAAACTGCATTCATTCCTTTGGGTCCCGACCACCTTGGGTAGGCAGGGGATGGTGAGCAGGCCTCGGGCCCAGGCCAGAGTGGCCTCAGCTTCCCCCATGGTCAGAGCTGGTCAGAGCTGGTCAGAGCTGGCAGCCATGTGCTCTCAGAGGTCATCCAGGCCACTCTTGGCCTAGCAAGGGAGTGGACAGCTTGAGGGGTCCTCCGCTGTCAGTGTAGATAGCCACATATCCCGGGTGCCCCCTTCCTCAGCTCCAGCCAGGCGGGGCTCAGCAGGTGTTTCCTCTCTCTGGCCCTGGGCTGGCTAGGCCCTCCCAGCCTCACCTGGGATTGGGGAGGGAGAAGCAGGGAGGAGAAGGTGGTCTTTTCTTTAGACTCCAGAGGGCTGGCATTGCTCCTTGTAGATTTGGACATGCTTAGTGATGAATCTCCAGGACTGGGCCTAGTTTAAGCTGTGCCTGCTGGGAAGGGAGTCCAAAGCTTTGGCTTGTCAGAAGGGCATGTGCCCTGCCAGGGCCCTGGCTGCTATCCTGTAGGCCAGTGAATGAGGCTGGAGGCTAGTGGAGGTCTCCCTGGGGAGGCCAAGAGTCCTGAGGGTCTTGGTGTAATGGGTTACCAGAATGTCTCCTGTAGTCGTAACTGAATATGTCACTGAGCTCCTTTCCTTAGGCTCAGAAAGGACATAGGCCAGAGAGGGCAATGTCGGGGCAGAGAGTGAGCCCTTTCTGGCTAGCCTAGCCTCGCCTCTGGCCCTTTTAGGGTTGCCCCTTGCCTGTCCAGTGTCCCTTGTTGTTAGGGCAACACCCGGGAGTGGGTAGGGGGAGGTCCTTGAGCCTCTTTGGTTTGTAGGGCCCTACTACTTTTAGGCCTAGACACCCTTCCAGGACACCAAAGGGGGCTGGGCACATAGAATTGTTTCCTGGTGGTTTCATTGGTTTTCTTCTGACAGACATCAGTTTCTTAGAGACCTGGGCTGTCACTAGAATTGTCTGGCTCTGGCCAGTCCTTTAGCCCTCATTGAGGGGAGTGTGGCTCACTTACCCTTCTCTCAGAAATGTAAGGTGGTCCCTGATTGACTTGGAGAAGGTTAGGTGTTACGTCTCCTTTGCCCCCAGAGTTAATAGTGAGTTTGCTGCCTTCCAACATGGTGCCTTTGTTGGGCCGGTGGCCTCGTCTAACTGCCATGCTTATCTCCTCAGGCCTCTGGCTTCCTAACTGCTCCTTGCACCCCACGCTGCCTTCTGCTTGCTGCCCTAACTGCCACCGCCACTACAACCACAGCCAGTGCTCATGCCTCACCAGTCTTGGCCAGAGGCAGGGCGGGAGGGGAGGTGGGAATGGGCCCTCACTGAGGGTGGAGCTGAGATCCTTCCTGGTTCTGGGCTGCTTCCCAGAGAAGAGATAGCACCCAGGTCTCAATCAGAGGGAGAAACTTTGAAGTGAGTTGGTTGTGGGGTCTGTTAGTGGAGGGGCCAGATGCCTTTTCTGCAGAACTTGGACACCTTGGCATTCTCTGTACTTTGCAATCTCCTTTGGGCAAGGTTGGAGATGGCTTGACCCCTGGCCCACAGAAGCCTTGCATGATGTCCAGGAACATCATGACAGGTATCTGTTCATGCTGAGCCTACGTCAGGATGCAAATGAACAGGGTCTGCTGATGCTCCTGGGAGTCTAGCACTCTGCCGCAGTGGGAGGGGCTGGGGGTAGCTGCCCTGGGGCTTCTCCTGGGTAGCCCCCACTGAAGGGAGGCTCTTTGGGGTCCCATGTGGTGCCCAACCCAGCTGGCCTCCTCCACGTTAGAGGCTGCTGCCAGTGGCATTGGTGCAAGAGATCACCCATCTCATGCCTCCTGGGGTTCCTGGAGGCACCTTCACGGATCCCAGGAGGATGCTAAAAGGCCCGTCTTTCGGGTCTCCCAGCATGGAATAAGATGCTGGACCTTCCCCACTGAGGGAAAGCTTTCATTGTCAAACAGGAAGGAGAAAGAAGAACAATGTGGCCTTTGACTTTCTGTCTCTGCTGCCCTCAGGCCTTGCTGTGGACTCAGGACAATCCAGAACCCAGAAAGAGATGATCGATGCCCGGGCTGCCCGGGGCCCAGCCCAGTCCAGTAGGTGTGGCCCCAAGGGGGACCTTTTGGTTTCTTTGAGCCCTGACTGTGCTGCTTCCCTCCCTCCCCTGCCCCCTAGCTCTGACTGACAGTGCCCTGAGGGGGTCACTTTGTAAGATCCATCTCTGGTTGTGCAGGGCTGATAAGTGCTGCTCTCTGAAGGCCACCTCCCAGGAGGCCCAGTCCCCTCCACTGTCCCCCTCCCCACGGTGTGGCCAGACATGTGGCAGGTGTTCAGGGAAGGTGTGAGGCATAGTGTTGAGACAGGTAGAGGATGTCATGATGCCTGCCTGGGGAGCAGGAGGTTGGCCTCTGCCTCCAGTGAGCAGCCCAGAGGGCTCCCCGGCATTGAGTTTGCTCAGCGGGGCTGGGCAGGGGTACTGCAGAAGAGCCAGCATGAACATACTCCTAGGACACCAGGCCTTACTGGTACAATTGCTCATTACTCTGGGACTGTCCGGGTTCAGTCGCTGGGTTCACTTATTTGTCAAGGTCAGGGAATTTTCACATCTAGTTTGTCAAATTGCTTTCTCCCCTCCTGTGATAGTTTCCCTGTGATTAATTGGTCAAACTTTGTCATTTACCTCCAAGCCTGGAGAACAGGTGGGAGAGGCTTGACATTTTGCCAGCCTCTTCTTGGGCCTTCACTGACCCCCTGCCCCAGCCTGTGGCTGAGCTGGCTCTTGGGAGCCCAGGGGCCTGGGCAGCTAGTGTGGAGGGCTCTCAGTGGTGGGGTCTTTTCTCTTGTGTTCTTTGACATCCCTGGCGCTCTAATCAAAGACACTCCCTCCTCTCGGGGTCTCCCCTCCACAACATGGCTTTTGTATTCCATTGTATTTGTTCTGGACTCCTCTTCAGAAGGGGGGCGTCCACCATGCCACCATTCACCCCTCCATATACAGCCACCAAATGAAAGGAGGGTAGGGTGGCCCTGGGGGCTAGGCGTCCCTAAGATTCTGGGAAGGAGGCTCAACTCTGAACTCACCTGGAGCTCAAGTGATCCTGGGAGGGGCCTGAGTGCAAAGAGGGGAGTTGGGCTTTTCCCACACTCTCTGTCTCATCTCCCCACCCCCACCCCCCCACCCCCAGCCCAGAGTAGATCTAGGGAGAAATCTTTAAAGCAAAGCTCCTATTGAGGATTCTAATCCTTCCTCTGATGTCTCTCAGTTTTGTTTCTCCCCTCCATGAGTATTGGTTTCCTCATCTGTTAAATGCTGATGGTGGTTTTTGTAGTGCCCGCCTCTTGGGGAGGGGGTGTTTGGACTCAAATGAGATGCAGGCCCGAGGCCCACTCCACAGACTCTGGCACACCAGATATATGTGTGACCCCTTGTATGTGTTCTGGGAGATTGACAAGCTGGACAGCAACCAGAGGAGGGAGGCCGGGCTGGGGAATGGTGCTGAGACCCAAAAACCTGAGGTTATTTGGCCTCCAGAAGGGAAAGCTCAGGGGGTCCTACTCTCAGTGTGTCCAAGTATTTGAGGGGCTATTGGAGGAAGAAGGATTGGCTTTCTTCTGCTTAGCCCTGAAGAGGCAAAGCCAGGAGGTCAAGGAAACTGCAGAAAGACCAGCTGAGGTTCTGATCAGGAAGGACTTCCCAACAGTGAGAGCCGTCCCAGAGTGGAAGAAGCCTCCTCAGGAGGTAGTGGACTCCTCTCACATCCTGGTCTGCACAGCAGAATGGTCGTGCAATTGTTAATCCATTGTCAGTGAGAGCCTAGGGGTGAGTGGTCTCTCTATACCAGGCCGCCAGCCTGGGAAGGGAGGCATGCAGTCCTTCCCTGAGGCCCTGACCCTCTCCCTGAGCCTGCTGGCTGAAGTCTGCCTGTTATGTCTCCTCAGGGAGCTGCTGTCCAGCCATGAGGTTCTGGCCTGGCCTGACAATCCTGGGGCACCCTGGTGCTGGACTGAAGGAAGGCCAGAGGTAATGAGGCTGGCATGGCTAGTCTCTACCCCCTCTGCCTGCCTGCACCAAGCCAGGTCCTTCCCGCTGGGTGGTCCCCAGGATCTGCAGCCAAAGACTAAACAGTTCTCCTTCACTGCCCACCAGCCGGACGGCTTTGGCTTCCTCACCAGGGGCCTGCTGGGGGGGGGGGGGCTCCTGCAGAGTTTGTTGTGCTTGGCTGGGATGGCCTTGGCTGTAGGCCTGGGAGGCTCCCTGCAGCTGGGCTGCCCATCAGGGGCTTGGGGCTGGCTCCTGGGCTTGCAGGAGTGCTGGTGTGTGGCAGAGGTCAGTGGCAGAGGGCTCCAGACGCCCAGCTTGCCTCTGGCTTTCTTTGCACAGGCACATCCTTGAAAGAATGTCTCTCTTCACTGTGTCTGCTTGGTCTTTGCCCTCCTCCTGGCTCCCCCTGGGTAGTCTGACCTCTTCTGGCCCAGAGCTCTCCAGCATCTCCTCCCTGCCTGGTCAGATGGCCTGGTCTATCTTCAGTCTCTTCCTGTTCCCCCATCCTCAGCATGCCTTCCTCCTCTTGCTCTGGGCCACCGCTGTCTCCCACATCTCCCTGCCTAACTGCCCCTCGTCCTCACCCTTCTCCTGACCACTAAGTGGGAGCTTTCCCCAGGCCTCGGTCCTGAGCCCTCTCCTCTCCTCTGCCCTGGGATGTCTCCCCCGTGGCCTCAGCCGTCATCTCCACGCTCCATAGATCAGCCCTGAATCATCTCCTGAGCACCAGTCCCATGTCACCAGCCATCCGAGTTGTGAGGCTCGAATGAGAGTGGGTAGCACAGTACCTGGCACACAGTAGGTGCCTTGTCAATGCTTATTCCTTGCACTGACCACTCCATGGTTATCGCAAAGGCAGCCTATCCTGAAGAGAACTCTGAACTTCTTTGCCCTCACTCCCAAGGCTGGTACCATCGCTGCATGGTCCCTGGTCAGCACCCTCATTCTCTCTCATTCCTATGGCTCATCAGCTGTTCATCATCCTTTGTAATACCTCTTGCCTCATCCCTTCTCTCCTGGACTGGTGCAGCTGTCCTCCATCCTCTTGACAGTGTGAAATCGATGTTCTGAAAGCTCAGATCTGATCCCGACATTCCTGCTCAGAAACCTTCTGAGGTCAAAATGCTTAATTGGGCCTCCAAGGCCCTTCTGCCTCCCTTTCCAGTCTGATCTCGTACTGCTCTTCTTGGCATGCTCTCTTCCATGGGCACACGGTCCCATCTCCTGCCCTCCCTGCTCCCAGAATCCGGAGTTCCCTTCAAAAGCCCAGCTCAGGGGCAGGTAAGTGGTGCAGCGGATAGCACACCGGCCGTGGAGTCAGGAGGACCTGAGTTTAAATCCAGCCTCAGACACATGATACTCACTAGCTGTGTGACCCTGGCAAGTCACTTAACCCTGATGCCTCACAAAGAAAAAAAAAGCAGCCCAGCCCACCTGCCACATCCTCCATGAGACCCTTTGAGATCCCTCTCCCTACTCCTGACATTGTTCAAAGAGCTCTTGAAATTACTGTGTAAGTGCTTTGTTTTTATTTATCTATGGATGCTGTACATGGGGGCTGTGGTGTGGTGGAAGAAGTGCTGGGTTGAAATCCTACCTCCTTCATTTACCAGCTTTGTGATTTGGGACCTCAAATGGTCCTTCTAGCTCTAAATCTGCAGTGAAGGGGCATCGACCCCTCCCCCTCTCAACCTGGGATGCAGGGGCTTTGTCCCCTCCCCCTTTAAGTCTGGGATGCAGGGGCGTTTTCCCCTTCCCCTTCTCAGTCTGGGATGCAGGGGTGTTGTCCCCTCCCCCTCTCAGTCTGGGATGCAGGGGCGTTGCTCCACCCCCTGCCTCATTGTACGTTCCTCGAGGGCAGGGGCTCCCTCATTCTTCCTCTGTGTCCCCAGCACTTGCCATGGTGCCAGCACTCAGCAGGTGCTCTTTCAAAGGAGTTGCCTCAGGTACCTCCCAGCGCATGGTCTGCTCCTGATTTTCGCCCTCCGGGGGGTCTGTCAGTGATGGGAGGGCCTCGAGCTGAGAGGGAGAGGCTGTGGAGGAACAGACAGCCCCCTGGAGGCACAGGAGCAGTGAGGGTCCTGGGAAGCTGGCTGCAGGGCTGGAGTCAGCTGGGGGTGGCCAGGGATGACACACGCTCACCCACGTGCTCTACACACGGGAAGGGTGGCCGAGCCCAGGCCTGAGGCCGCCCTCAGGAGGCCTCTGTGGGAGTGGCTGTTGGCCAGGCACCAAGCTCGATCTCGGAGACGTTCCTGTCCTCAGAGAGCTGGCATTCTGCTTCGAAGGATGGATCTGCCTGCCATGAGCGTCTTTATTGAAGTCACTGGTATGGATGTTGGACGTCGCGGAACTCTCTGGCATGACCCTAGAGCCCTCCCCCTCCCTCCTGGGGGCGTTTGCCCATTGTTTTCACTCTTGGGGTGGAGTTGGTTAGCCATTTCCAATTCGTGGCACTGCTTTCCGTTCCATCCCTGATCGATTCCCGTATTGATGTCCATCCCCAGTGGTTCAACTCTTCACACTGACCCTAATTTATCTGAGCTGTGCCCTCCCCCTCCCAGAGCTGCCCTGGGGGACTAGGGGGGAGTGACACCAGGCAGAGGGATCCTGCTTCTTCCTTCCAGCCTAAGCCTTCCCAATCCTGGGAGCTGCCCTTGGCCAGGAAATGCCACTCACAGGGCTGATTATGGTTTAAGACATAACAAGGGCTCTTCTTATGGCAGCTGGAAATTAGTTTGAGTGATTTCATTCCCACTTTATAGATGCTGAAACTGAGACTTGGAGCAGTTAAGTAATTTGCCCCAGGTCACTGTATGCCTGGTCTCTCAGAGATAACTCCCCCTCCCCCCCCCTCACTCCATGAGTGAGTACTACCAGCTGTTCTTCATGGGAGCCTCCTCTCTGGCATCAGTGATACCCTTTGTTGTCGTCCCCGCCCCCCACGCCTTTAGCTTCCTCTTTTGGGAGCTTGGAACCCCTTGTTGGCCAATACCAGGGAAGTTTTTCCTGGCCTCACCAACCTGGCTTCTCCTTGGGTTCCTGTCCAGCTTGTTGTGGGAGATGAAGTCTTGAGAGGGCGGTGGGTACTGAGGGATCCCTGGGGACCAGAGGGAGAGCACATAAGAAATACCACTAAGTCATGAGTGACTTCTGAGGCAATTTCAGTTGGGGGAGATGGATAAAGAGCCTGTGAAGGCCTGTAGACGGTGGGTATTTGGGAGCTCCACAGGGGAGGATGAGGAAGAGGAAGGCATGGAGAGCAGGAGGGGCTCTGGGTGACCCATCCATCAGCCCCTTTGGGAACCGCATACCTATGCTTGGCCATCAAGGACATGGAGAAAGGTTTGGTCACATGACCCTCAATTGAGGATGGGGGTGGATGAGGGGTCTTGTCTGATCCATCCTCCCCAGTCACACAGCAGATGACAGAGCAGGGCCTTCCCTGCGTCTTCCTGGCTCTCAGACTGGCCTCTTGAGTAACCCTGCCTCTAGACGAGCCCCGAGGCGAAGTGGAGCTTCTTTCCCAGACCCTCCATCATAGTCTGAGCTCAGCATTGGCCCAGCCTAGAGCTGGCAGAGCCCAGCCTTCCTCCTCCAGGCCCCTCCGGGCACCTCCCAAGCAATAGATCAAAGTTCTGTGTCGTTCTCCAGGGTCATGAAAAGGGGCATCCTTTTTCCATTTAGCACAAGCGGCTGCTTCCTAAGAGTTGGCTACATGCAGTCTTCTTTTCTTGGAGACCCCTGTGACAGAGGCTGGAAGCGGGACCCAAGTAATTCTGTTTTCCAGCCCCCTTGCCTTACTGCCCTGGGAATCTGTGGCAAAGCTGGGGTCAGATCTGTGTGACCTAGGCCTCAGTTTACTTCTTTGTAAAATGAGGCCATTAGACTTGCTGAACTCTGTGGTCCTTTCCTGTGATGCTGGTCTCTCCAGCTCTCAGGGGTGGAGGGGAAGAAGGAGAGGCTTCCAGACACGAGGTCTTGGCAGCTCCAGCTTCTGTGTAATATCAGCGAGGCAGGATGGGGATGGGAGGTGAGGGAAGGAGAGGCCACACTGAAGCTGCTGAAAAGTGACAGTCTGCAGGAACACTTGTGTGGGAGCCAGAGATTTCTACCCGTGGGAACTTGGTCCTCACAAGCAAGAGAAGCCGGCCCCTCTCGGCCTTGGCTGCCTCCACTAGGAGACAATCTCCAGGCTGCAAGTACTGAAGAGGAAAGGTAAATGGAGGAAAATAACCTCCCCAGATGGAGGGCCAGAAAGAGCTCCTGGCACCCAGGGAGGCTGGCAGGCAGGCAGAGAGGATGGCCAAGGCTCCCTGGAATCCTTTGGGTTTGGGGAGGGGGGAAGTGACTTTCCTACAAGGATTATTTTTGATGAACCCTTATGAGGGAGGGGTGCTGCTAAATATTTAACAACCTGATTTAAAAAAAAAAGATACTTCTGAGTTTAATCTGCAGTATTACCATTTTCTCCATCACTTTAAGTAAAGACAGATAACTAAACAATCAGGTCCTAGTCTGTAGGTTTGCTGATTTCTGATATGTCAATGTTCGAACTGAACATTTAACAATCAGCTCCTTCAGTCTGACTCCAGCACACCCCTGATTAATTGACAGGCATGGATTCCAAGCTTTCTGTGTGCTAAACTCTGGGCAAGTCACAAAGTAAAGCAAAAAACAACTCGTGCCTTTATGATGGTCACAGTCATGAGGGAGACAGAAGGCAGACAGTGAGGCACATACCAGCCAGCTTGCCCAAAGGAGGCTGGGAGCCCTGAGAAATAGGACATAGTCAAGTGGCAGCAAGAGAAGCTAAGGATCATGGGAATTTGGGCAATACCGGGGAACAAAGGGAGAGGAAGTGGGTTTGTTGTCCATGGACAGTGGAGAGACATCACTGTACCAAGTGGGTGATCAGCCTTTGCTCAAAGACCCCCAGTGAGAGGGAGCCTACCATTCCTGAGGCAGCCTCTTCTCCTCTGGGACAACCCTACTTGGTAGGAAACTTTTCCTGACAATCCAGCCTAAATCTGCCTCTTTGCAGCGCCACCCCCACTCCTCCTGTCCTTGGGAATCAGGTAGAACAATGCTGATTCCCTCTTCCATTGAATACAGCTCTCCTGTCCCCCGTGGAGGTGGGGGTAGAGCCTTCTCCAGGTTCAGCATGCCCAGTTCCTTCCACTGATCTCCATCCCTTCACTGGCCTGGTTTCCCCCCTCTGCACGATCTCCATCTGGTCAATGCTCTTCTTAAAATGTGCATGAGACATTGGCTCAGGCCTACCAGGGCCAGAGGACAGGGGGATCATCACCTCCCTATACCTAGAAGATCTGCCCAAGGGGATGTTTTCTGGCTGACTCACATTGAGCTTTGGTCCACTCATACCCTTAGATCTTGTTCAGACAAATCACCATCTGACTACCCTGTGCTTGTGAATTACAACGATGTGACTTACTGCACTTCACTTCACCTAGTTAGGCTGGTGCTTGGTGACACCCTGGGTGCTTGGTGAGGTGATGGGCCTACTCTCTCATGGTGGTTCTTCTAAGCCAAGCTCTGGGATGGTGGGCTGGACTGACCAGACCCCCCTGCCCTTTGGACTGGGGGCTGCTTTGCAGTCTCAAGCTTTTGTGACACTTTTTTTCTCTGCTTTGTTTTTCAGAGTATGATCGATTGGGTTTTCTCCTGAAATTGGACTCAA